CTGATACTACCTGTTCAATGTACCTGGGTATGTACTTATATTGAGTTTTTTATTTGAAGTTTGTTTTTGTTAAAGAAAAAAAAATCCAAACCTAAACCCAGTATAACTTTAACTGATATCCAGTTTTTGTTTTATTGTTATTTATCTTTTTTTACTCAAATAAAATCGACTTTGTTCGATATTCTTAGTTCACCTAAGAATTATATAAGGAAAAATAATGTCACAAAACTTATTATTATTATTATTATAAAGGTTTAATGTCCGAACGTAGGTCATTAATAGATCAATTTTAAGAAAATGCAATGCTAATATAACTAAAATTTTACAAAAACATTACAATTCACTTGCCAGAATGCAGGGCTCGAATCGTTACACACATAGTAGTACTTATCACATAAAAACACATTTTTCGGATTATGACATACGTGAACGTACTCTTTGTCCATTCTGGCCTCGAATCGTAACATCCGTTCACGGATCGAAAACGGTACGAAAGAAAATTACGAGATACGACAGGAAGTATAAGCTGAGTGGGACAAAGAGTACGTTCGAGTGTGTCATAATCCGAAAATTGTGTTTTTACGTGACGAGGAGTACGATANCTTATACTACCGGAACTTATCACGTAATTTTCTTTCGTATCGTTTTCCATCCGTGAACGGATGTTACGATTCGAGCCCAGAATATAGGCAGGATGGCCAGTAGTTTACTCCAAACAAACTTCGAATATTTTCCATAAAAATTGGCAGGCATGCATTACCTAAATGGCGTTCGAGGCTTTAAATGGTTAAATATTCTAGGAAAAATTGTTGCATTTCGCTCAATACGTTCTTTAGCAAATCAAAATTTCCGTCGAAAAACGGGTGATAAAACTTACATAGCTTCATTAAATTCAATTCATGGCAAAACCCGTAGTTTTTTATAGTATTTTCAGGAAATGTATTAGCCCTGATTTTCACCTTCTATCCGACATGCATTCAAAAAGAATCGAGTCATATTTGGCAAAGATATTGCCAAAAAGGTAGATGAAACTATACTTTTTCATTGAAAATTTTGTACTGAAATAGTTTTTCATTTTGGTTTTTGTTCCCATGTCTCGTCACCTGAGGGTGAAAAAGTGTCAAGTTCATTTTTTTTTTAAATTGGCTATTAAGCTTCCAAACAAAAAAAAAAAAATAATTAAATAAAAAAAGGAAAATTAAAAAAAAAATATTTTATTTATGCACCACGTTGTAGAGTGACGCTAGCGCCTTCGCGGAAGATATAATAATGAGATATCGCGCGGCAATCCACTATCGAAAAGTGAAAAGAAAAATGTAACACATATTTTTTGTTAACATAATAATGAATAATGTAAACAAGAAATTTAGTCAGAGAACCGCATGCTAAGGTTTAGTGAGAGGTCTTTAGAGTAAATTCCGCTACCAACCTTATTGTCGAGCTTTGGCCCATCCGTAAGGATGGCGGTATATCTTGGATCTAAGTTCGAGTGGTTTACCCAGTCCCTTCAGCCCGGAATTCTGGTAGAACTTCTATTTCTATGATTCTATTATATGAAGGGATTCTTAAAAAGTCTATGAAGTGATTCTTAAAAAGTCGTGAGCCCTTACTACTACTACTAGGTACACAAAAGCAATTACAGAATTTCTACTGGGTTACACAAGAAGCAGTTACAAATTTTCTGCCAGGTTAACGCAAACTCTACGCATAGCGAGAGGATAAGGTGTTTACACATCAAAAAACCTTACCATAACCTTAAGTTTCCCATCCCATTAAAATAACGCAGACTGTATTTTGGTTTATGGATCTTTAAAGTTATTTTAATTTTATTGAATTTTAAATGCCTCTATTTTCGTTTATATCATATTGATTGTTTTGGGCGAATCGTAATGCGTAGGTACTCAGTGTTACTTGTGTGTGTTTTCTAAGTTACAAAGATTTTCACTTTTTACTTATTAAAATTCTAAGAAATGTTCTATTTTACCGGCAACCTGGCCGATTGCTTAGATGTGCATTTAAATTATTGTTATTAATTTTTTCTAATTTTCTCTATTTTTTTTGTTTTAATTTTTGTTTAAACAAATTTTTTAGCACAAAAAATTTCTGGCACATTTACTTGGTAACCTCGTGCATAGCCTGCGCCAAGTAGTCCACATTCTTGCTGGTCACACCCGCCATTGAGATGCGTCCATCTTTGGTCAGATAAATGCTAAATTCCTTCGACAAACGCTCGACATTCTCCGCTGTCATGCCGGTGTAGCAGAACATACCAATCTGATTGGTAATGTGATCCCATGAACGCGATGAGCCCAATTTCACTAAGTTGCCCTTCAATTGTGCGCGTATATTAATAATACGATCAGCCATTGTTTTAACATCCTTCAACCAAATTGCTCTCAATTCTGCGTCGTTTAGTATTTCGGCAGCCAAGCGGGCACCATGTACTGGCGGATTTGAGTAGAGTGCACGAATGAGTATCTTAATTTGTGATGTAACACGATCGGCTTCCTCTTTGCTGGCAGCGATGACGGAGTAAGCACCGGCACGTTCGCCATACAAACCCATATTCTTGGCAAAACTCTGCGCCAGGCAGTAGAGGTGGCCATCTTTTTCGAAGATGCGTACAGCTTGAGCATCACGATCGACATCGCCGGACGCAAAGCCCTGGTAGGCCATATCGAAGAAGGGGAATAAATTCTTCTTCTTCACCAATTGTGAGAGTTCCTTCCACTGGTCGAGCGATAGATCGACACCTGTGGGATTGTGCGCGCACGCATGCAACAAAACGATGGATTTTTCTGGGATTTTCTGCAATTTAAAGTTGTAGGTATGTACGAGTATAATGAATATAAAAGAAAACTCACGCTAATATCGTCGAAACAGCCTTGTACATCCAAGCCACAAGTTTTGGGATCGTAATAACGGTATTTCTTAATTGGCAAACCAGCGTGCTCGAAAATGGGTACATGGTTGCCCCACGTAGGTGTGGGTACATACACCTCGCGATTACCTTGCCAGAATTTGCTAAGGAAAGCCGCACCGATACGCAAAGCGCCTGTGCCACTGATGGACTGCAAAATATGATTGAAAGTTCAGAAAGAAGAAACATATTTGATATTTTCAACAAGTAATTTTTAAGCAAAAAAAAAACAATCGACTTCAATTCTCATATACAAACTTAGGAGTACCGTTAATTTCTTCAATCCAATGATCGGATCTAAACCAAATTAGTATGGTACCACCTTTCCGACAAAAAAAAAATTATCGAAATCGTTTCACGTGGTGCAAAGTTATGCGGTAACAGATATGTTAAAAAATATATATATTCCGACAAATTAATAGCCTCCTCCTTTTTTTGAAGTCAGTTAAAAAAATTAAAAAGAAATATAAAATTCAAATGAACTTCTCAAACATGAGTTCGTTATTTCGTCACAGGTTTCATTGAGGTGAAAGAATTTTTGTGTTCAGCACTCGGGCAAAATTCGTGCATTCGTTGGTTTGAGATAATCAGTTCTTTTGCCCAAGTGCCAGAACACTTGCTCAATTTGGTGAATACCCCTATAGAAATACCGGACCGGCCTTTAAAATCTGTACATGCGTAACAAAGTGAGGTAAAAAAACGTTAAAAGTAAAAGTAAGCAAGTACTAAAGTGAAAAAGGCTGTAGCGGTAGTGTTATCGATAACTATAAAAATACCGATAACAAATCCAATATCAATAACAATAGCTATAAAAATTGAAAACTCTAAAGCTAAAAAATTTATGATTTATCGATTCTTCACTGTTATCCTTATTGTTTTTATCGATACTTTTTGTTATCGCTTTCATTTTTACCGCATAGTATTATCGAATTTTACTTATCAGTGCAGAGTTTACTCTCAATTTCTTCTAAATATAAGAATTTATCGATACTTTTTTGTTGTAATTGTTATCGATAAATTTTGTTATCGCTCATATTCTTAACGCTATTTATTTCACTATTCAAATTTACTTATCCAATATAGAATTTACTATCTGTTTCTTCCAAATGTTTCTAATAATATCGATAACGATAACAAATCCAATATGGATACCAGTAACGAGAACGATAACAGAAATATACAACTGTAAAAATAATCAATGAATTACAATTACTTATCGATATTTTATTGTTATCGTTATCATTGTTATCGATACTTTTTGTTATTGCTATTACAATAGGTTCGTTCGCGTAGCTGTTAATTGTTCATGTTTAACCA